TCAGTTGCCAGACGCTATTGAGGAAGGAGTTTTCAGGGCCAGAAAAAACAAGGCAGTTTGTGGATTTAGTTTTATTCCCAGCTCTCTGTGTTCTCTGTCCTTCAGTTTTATTGATGACTGAAACGTTTCACTCGAATCAGTCAGATTCTGTGCTCGCTCTTTGGTGTGCAGTAGCTGTGGTCAGTGCAGCACACGCTGTACCGTATTGTACAGTGAAGCTGAGAGACTTGTTCAAAGATGATGCGGGTTGATCTGTTTCTGAAGAGACGTGAAACCATGGAGACGGCAGGAACTGCTCGGCTCTGCCGCATCCTTGTTCCGAGGCTGCCAGGGGAGCCTGGCAGCTCCTGCTGCCGGGGCAGGGGAAGGAGCTGAGAAAGGGGGGCCCCGGCGGGCCCGGGCCCCTGCCTCTGTCTGGGGAGAACTGCTGACCTCGGGGGCACCTGGGAGTGCCCCTAGGAGACAAACTGGGTGTCATGCTGGGAGATGGCACTGGAAACTGAAAATCCTAGAGGAGGATTTGCATGCCTGGCTCTTTGTTGTCCCCCCTGTGCCACATGGTGAGACAGTGAGGAGTGCAAGTATTAATATTCCCAGTGCCCCACGTAGGAATGGTGCCTGCCCAATCTCCTGGCCTTAGCCCAGAGGGGAACTGCTGTTAGTAAGGGCAAAGGTTTCATACTCCAAAAGGAGAGCTTTCCTGCGGGGTCTGAGTGATACCGTAGGGCCTGGCTGTTCCACCACCCAGCCTGCCTACCAGTGCTGGGTAGCCGCTGTCATGAAGAACTCCAGCAGAAGGCATGGTTTGATTGCCCAGTCATTTGTTGTTGTTTTAATGGGTGTCTCTACTTCCCTCTGAAGTTCCTTCTCTCTTAAACAGGAGAGAGGTCAATGGAAGTGCAGTGCTCTGGATGAGCGGGGCATCATTACACCTTGTGGAGGGAGGCAGGGCGCAGGCAGTTCCTGTAAGCCACCATGGCACGCGTGAGCATTTTATAATAACCCCTCATCAGGTGTCCTTAGTCAGCGTGCACCGGGACCTCCCACAGGGGAAGTGCAGGTCTCCACTACTCACTGTTTGCAAACCCCTTTTCGCAGGAGAGGGGAACCACACTGACCAAACGCAGCCCTCAGTTCAGAGGTGCAGCAACCAGACTGGATCCCAGCCTGCTAAGCGGGCCCTCGTACGCTCTTACCCTCTTGGATAGACCAGCACAGTCCGCTATAGCCAGGGCATCCCACACAGCAGGTATGATGGGCCAGAGAGGGAGAGAGCTTAGGCAGCAACCTGCTCGAGCAGGGATGTTAAAGTGTCTTCTTTCCATATTCTCTTCTGGATCCTGTGTAAAACAAAAATTCCCTCAGCCCCCGTGGATTTAACCTGCAACCCCCCACACTTACTCCTGAATGTTGATTTTTTTTCTTGATCACACCAAATGCAGTACTAATTGCTTTGTACTGCTGGTGCGTTGTGTTTCTTCCCGTCCGTCAGGGTGTGGGCGGACAAGCATTCACGCCCCGAGTCCTTTACAAGGAGCAGGGATGCCTTGCTCAGGGTTAGGTGGTCGTGTAGCATTGCGTGCCGTCTTGTCGCTGGACAGAAGTGTGTCCCTGTGCCTGGAGGTGACTTTCACTCCCTCTGTTCAACATGAAGAAACCGAGACTTGGAGACACTTGCCACGATCACATGAGAACAGTCTGATCCTGTTCCCACTAATGTCAGGGAAAGCAAGAGCTGACCTTGACTCAGTCAGGAGGTGGGAGTTTCTTCCTTTCCTGTCATCACCTTACAGCGCACTCCAAGCCAAACTGTTTCCTTTTCAGAAGCAACGCTCAGATACGTTAGCTGTGAAAACTGTTCATCTTTCTTCATGCTTGCTAAGGGTTCACGTGTTTGAACAAAAGGGGGTTCTCCTCGAGGCAGGCAGGAATACAGCAGTGCCGGAGCTTTTGCGTGAAGCCTGTCAGCGATGTGGTGCAGTGGAAAAATGCGAAATTTGGTTGGGTGTGAAGTGTACTGCAAGATTCATAATTAAGTGATTGGGGAAAATACAACCCACATACATGACTGGAGCTGTTTATTTGAATAAAGCCCTAAATGTTTACTTTTAAAATGTGTTCTTTTAATATTTTGTAGTGGAATGTTTAGTTGATGTAACATTAGAAAACATTGTTCATGCAGACGAGGTGGTTACTTGTACCTGTGACTTTGAAGTGTGGGAGTAAGGCACTAGTTGTGTCAGGTTTGCTGCAGCAGGCTTTTTCTTACATCAAATGTGATTTTTTTTCTCTCTCTCTCTCTTTCAGACTTAACCAACATAATGACTGCTGAATATTAAGGGAAAACACAAGAAGGTTACATGTTTGGTTGTCTAATATTCTTGGATTTGATATGAGTCACCACATCTGTTCATTAGTATCATCAACAGCATCCCAGTTTGTATGCACATTATTCACATTCCTATCTGTTGTGTTTGCAGAAATGACATTCTGCCCTTTTTTCTAAGGGTTACTTTTTGATTTTCGTATTATTTGGTTGCATGAAGTTGCCCTTTACCAGTGGCTGAGGTTTATGAAGATATCGCATACTTGAACATGTTTTAGATTCCTTTTCGAGACAGAAAAGGTGTAACTCCAAATTCTACCGTTCTAAATCTGCATTTTTTTAAAAACAAGTAAATCTTAGAAATGAGTCCCCTCCATACAATATCTTCCACGTACAAACATAGTTTTGAATTTCCCTGTATCCATGCTTTCTTGATTTTTGATCAGTTTACAACATAAAAGAAAAATTCTCCTTCAGTTGAGATCACCGCCAAGTTCAATAATGTAATAAAATACCTTTCCTTATTAGAAGTACCTAGCTAGTTATACTCTTAATACTTCTCAAAATCATGATGTAATGTACACTATCTGACTTAGTTCCTATATGTGGAGTTAGTGAAAGTCTTTTTGTGTTTCTTTAGATTAATACAAGGATTTTTTCCAATGCCAACACAATTTGAAATCACTCATTTGGATGCTTTCCATTTTTAAGCTTACTGTGATATAGAACCCTATGGGAAACCAAAAGAAAACATCAATTTTAAATAATGAAAGGCTTAAAAAAGGATGCTGTCATTCTGGCTTTTTTTTTTTCCTTTTGGAAATAGAACTAGACTAGTAAGTAAGCATTCCAAATCCATTATTCTGTGTACATTATTGTTGCTATTGTGATAATAGAGATTTTTATTTATTTTTATGCCAGCTTTTATTGTGAAAACATATTTAGTCTGGTTTTATCAATCCTTGTTATGCTTGTCCTTGGAACATCTTTTGCGTATTCAAGGTTTGTAGTTGATGAGTTTACTGTAAAAAACTAAAAAAAAACCCACAACAAAAAAACAAAAAACAAAACAAAAAGAAAACAAAAAAATGTATTGTTTTTACAGAATAAATTTATTGGAATGTGTATTGGGAGTAAGGTTTGAGGTTGTAAGCAACTAAGTTAGCGTCATATTTGGCTTCATACGTGTAATAATGTGAGGTATTAATGTAAGTCAAGTATTAAAGCAAAACATTCTGTTAACATGAGTTGACCATAATAGATGCAAGTGCAGGTGAGATCTTTATTTTTTTCTGTACTTTGCCTTTTCTGGGTAACAGGAGGTTATTAAATTCACCTTGAATGTATTCAAAGTTTCTTTAACAACATCAGAAGTAACATCAGAGGCTCAAACACCCGTTTGTGAGCCCACGTGGCCCGCCGCAGCCCCGCAGCTCTGGGTGTGTCTGCGTGGGAGGACGTGCTGGGGGGGATGGAGCTCTCCCCAGCCCTAGCGTGCGCGGGAGGAGCCCGCGCCGGGGAGGCCGGGTGCTGGAGGCAGTTAGCGCCAAGGTCCTTTTTGCCGAGAAGCACTGACCGAGATGCGTGGTGGCCGTTTTGGCCCTGCCCCTCTGGCTGGAGGGATAAGCCCGTGGGTTCTCTCTTCTGAGCACTGCTGTGACCAACACCCCCGTGTCCCACGGGAGCGTTAAGGCACGGCTTTCTTCCTGCCCCGAAAGTCCCTCTGTGCAGGGCGCAACGTGCGTGCGCCTGAGCTGCCGCCTTCTTGCTCCCGATTAGGTTTAAACAGAAAATTAAAATTCTCTACATCAAAGCACCCAAAAGTCAACATCCCAAAATAACGCGTTTCCAGTGAAAGTGCATCAGCTAATTCCATCTGTGAGAGAGGCACTGAGTGTTCTGCCCGTAGCATAAACACACACAGAAGGCATAGAAATAGCTGTAATGGCAAACAGAAGCGTCAGCTACACAAACCAAGTCGCTGTATTTGCTGCTACTTGTTTAGGACCCAACAGCATTAGCAAAAGTAGCTGCAGAGAACGCGGCCAAACCCCCTCCTCTGCACACGCATGCCACGGCCTGAGGCCCGCTCGCTCGCGGTCACGAGCCCTCCGTGCCCCGTTCAGAAGAGCCACTAAGCACACGCTTAACTTCGAGCGGATGAGCAGTCCTTGCAGAAGTGAAGCCTCAAAAGCATTAACAAAACTATACGATTTGCTTATCATATATGGAGTCTTACCGTAAGAGTTGATTGCTTCTTAAAAGATTTCTTGGGATTTTTAACAAGGCTGACCCACAAGACATACTTTTTGACAAATAAAACATGTGCATGTGACAGAGTTATGTATGTTAATTTTTCACACGTCAAACTGTTGACCTTCACGTTCTGCAGTAGCTCTGTACAGGGATCGCTAGCACCGATCCTCTTCCGTGTGCGGAGGCTAAACACTGACATCATTATTATTATTTAACTTATGCAGTATTTCTAAAACTGTCAAAGCAGCTTACTTAAAAATAGCGATGTGAACCAGCAACTCCACTGCAGCGCAAAGTCAAAGTGTTGAGAAGTGGTACTGAAGGCAGTCGTCTTTATTTTCCCCTTTTGAGCAGGATAAACAAAACAGACCGTGCAACTTTACACAACTGTGCAATTTTACACATCTTACACACTTCATTTGGGTTCCATTTGAGCCGTTGAATTACATCCCAACCCAATCATATACACAGCCAAAAAGAGGAGCCGGTAACAGTTGTGCTATTCTGGTTTTTCTTCTTGTTTTGTTTTCATAAAAAACTCTGGCTTGTTGACACACCTGTACGCCAACAGCTGGGGGAGAATCCCATACATTATGTTCAGTATCAGGAAAAACTGTTTTGCTTCTTCAGGGACTCTGTAGACGTAAGGAGTTCGAGCATGAAGAGAAGCACCAATATGGGAAAATTGAGCCTGTGGTGTGTATATAACGTATATATTAAAAACAAGGTAAAGCTGAGGTATATTTTGGAAAGACAGCATAATCTGCATGCAAGTATGCATCTCCAGTGACATTTTCTAAGCCATCCCTTTTATTCCAGAATTATCCATCGTACTTTTGCACAGCGGTATAAAAATACAGCCTAAACTGAGATCATGAATGTCTTGGTGTAAGAGGCGTAAATGGAACCGTCAGTGGCAGGGCAAGGGGTTTGTTTCATGCACGTGGTGGCACTGATCTTTACACCAGGCGTAGGACCTCACCCTTGGCTCACAGGTCATTCCTCCTGCGACGGGGTCCCGGGTCCTGCCCCAGGCACACGGCAGCTGACGTGTGCATCGCCCTGCAGACCCGCACTCCTGAGCCTCAGCCCAGCGGCGGGGCAGGACTCGCACCCACCCACCCGCCGAGGAACACCGGGTTTGGCACCCATGGGAGGCAGAGAGACACCCACTCACTCTGAATGAAGTTAGAAAGTAAACTCTTGGAAGCGATGTTAGTTTTGGGTTTGTTTGTTTGTTTGGGGTTTTAATCTTAAACCCAGTCTCCCAGACTCTGCCCCAGAACTCCTGATGATTTCAGGAAACACCTGCAATATCTGGCTTTGGGGCTGCGGGCAGTTCTGAAGTATAGGTTAAGTTTACAGTGAAGGTTACATGCAAAGACAAGGTTGCTGGGCTGAAGCATATTTTTAGCATAAACAAACATTTAAAGATAGTCGCTGTCTTTTGTCTCCATCTGTTCCCTGCTATTTCAAGCCACAGCTCATTCACGTTAACTATTGTGTGTCCAATTTTATTATTTTGTTTTAATTATTTAGTTAGTTAGCAGTGGAGGAGAGCTGAGAACATAAACATCAATTTAATTTTAAGCAGAGCAGGAGAACAGGACACCAGAGTTTTAGTAATGCAGAGGAGCGCACTATGGCCAGATCACGTCCTCTGGCCTGGCTCCGGCAGGAGTTACTTTGTCCTCACGAAGACCACAGCTCTGGTCACAGCAAAGCAGAAAGCGAAATACAGTGCAGGTGGCTTCATACACACCCCTCTAGCAAAAGGTTAGGCCGAGGCCATACATCAAAACAGAAAAGGAAATCAGTTTTCAGGTGATTCAAAGCACCTCCGCTGAACAGGGAGAGCTGAGCCAGCACACCCGAGTCAGGAAAGGGAGTCATCAAAGCCATCAAGTACAACCGCACCTCAGCAGCGCGCCACTGGGCGTGGGGCTGTCAACAGCCGTCACGCAGTAAGCAGAGGTGCGGGGGCACGCCGCCAGCTGCCTTCTCCTATCAGCCCCATAACTCTGTGTGTTCTCACCCGTCTCACGCAGGAGCTGCCTTTGGCGCCTGGGTGCCTTGCTCAGAGCCCTGCTACCCTTCCTCGCCCGGGAGCCAGCTCAGCCCAGGCGGCCGCAGCCTTGGTGCCCAGCAGCCCGGTCCTCTTGTTACATGAGGCCGCAGGCTCCCAAGCAGATAGCCGGCCACCGCCGGCCTTCAGGTAGGAGGTTTGCGCCTCGCTGGTTCCCGAGACACTAAAACAGCCTCCTGGGAGCGTGTTGGAGGCTCCCCGGGGTGACCAAGGCGCTAAGCTGCGCACCGCGCCGGGGAGGCCTGCGCGGCCCGCCTGACTCCACGGGCGGCCAGCTGGGCATCCCAGTGCGGTGGCACTGAACGCCTAAGAAGGTCACCGCAAGCCTCCTCAGAACCAGCTGTAAGGGGCTGCTTCTGAGAGACCCCGACCTCGACAGCCTCCTAGGTGCCTTTGAAGATCTGAGCCTTATTGTGGGGTCTTGCCTCTTACAAGGGTTGTGGCACACCAGGAAGCTTTGAGCGTTATGAAAAGAAAAAGCAGAAACGTTTTGTTCTATTTGTAGCTCCCGGAGGTTTTTACTAGCTGATGATGCACCATATAATGAAGTTACTGTTTATTAGACTTGTTTTTCAATATAACACATTGCTTTTTCCTTTCATTACCGGGGAGGATATTTAGGTCTGTTAAAGTCACTTTTTCTTTTTTTTTTAATTTGATTTGCCTCTGTGGAAATTGTATTATGTCTTTAATCTCATGTGTTTCATTTCCATGACTCTGTTGCTGCTTTTTTTTTTTTTTTTTCCTTCTCCCCTTTTTTTTCTCCCCTGGGGCAAAGGGTGTGCCTTAAAGGCAGATCTCTCACTCACCAGTAGCCCAGTCCTGCTTTTCCTTCAAGTACCAGGCAGACTCGCACCAAGTCCATCATTTTCAACAGCAAGACAAGAGCTGTGGGTTACTGCAGGTCTCTGCCTGCTGCGCAATAGGCTGGCGTGGCGGTGAGAGCGCCCTTGAGTCTGTTGTGATACCTCGCCGAGATCAGGTCCTCTCAGCAAGTAAGCCATTCCTTGGTGCTTTCTGTTACTGAACCCTCTCTTAAATGGAGAATTCCAAGCATCAAACCCCTAAACCTTGGCTGAGAAATCAACCACATGAGGTGCTGCAGGAAAACTTCTAAGGTAGCCTTATCTGTTTAACGTACAGCCTTCGTTAACGCGAAGCCTTGGCCAGGCCGCTGATCAGGCCGTCCCACGGCAACTGGAAGCTGCCGGGTGCTGGACGTGGCACTGCTCTGCTTGACAACTGCAGTTTGGGCATGCCTGCTACTCACTGAGCTGCTGGTCTGTATGACACAGTTTGCGTTTCTTTTACAATTTTTTTGCCTGTAGCCTAATCATAGGCAATTCTTCAGTATTTCTTACCCTGCAGTCACAAAAGCCCTCCAGCTAGGGACAGAAAAAGACCTGGAAAAAGGTTCGGAGTCCTTCACTCTGCGCCTTCTCTCTAAAACTGACTAAAATCGGGCACAGAGTGTAACTTATTTTGGAGGTGTTTGGAGCAGGTCTTACAAGGATAAGGAAAGCTATCAAATAGAGTGGGGAGAAAGTAACTAGAAAAATGGGTTCCTTGGGTTTAGGTTCTCTTGTAGACAAGCAGCACTGCAGAAACTAGCCACCAAAAACTGCAGGATTAAGGAAAACACTTAGATGGAGAAGGAGTAGAGAAAAACTGCCTACATTTGAGAGAACAGGAAAGTGGGCTATGGAGAGCTGGTGAGACAGAATGGCTTTGGATAGCAGGGCTGTGGCTCTTTATCCCTTCTCAGGTGGCTGGCTTGCATAGGGAAATAACAATTTAATCAAGTTCAGAGGCTATTCCAAGCCTTTTGTATAATCAAAGCTCCTGGTACTTCAGTCATGTGACACTTAAAGAGCTCTTCCTAAACCTTCAGAAAGTCTAATAAGTGTCACAACCTGGTTTTGGAGTCTTAGTGTTAGTAATAATTCAAGCTGAGAGCTATACATAATTCTGAAAACCAGTAAATATTTCTCTTTGTGTGTGTGTGTGTGCTAGGCACTTTTAGAGGTTCTTAGTTTAGATGCATCATATGGTATTTTGAGACTTGTTTTTTGTAGAAAGTACATACTTCATAATGGTAGAAATCAAAATAATTAAAATCTCCTGTAGGAGCAGTGTTCGTTCCCAGGGAGCAATGCCCACTGTTTCCATCATTGCGTAGTTACCTTTATTGGACCTTCGTGCATTATAGAAAGCAAAATGTGTTTCAGTAACTACATATGTTTTAATTATAAATTACAACTTGAAAAAACAGCAGACAAACCTGGAAGTGTGTCTTGTGCCTCAAAAGGACCAAAACAAAAAACAAGGTAGGAGTCCTCAATGCGTTGTCACACACAATTTTTTGACCCAGGTTGCTCATAGTTCACAAAGTCAAATCAGTGAAATCCTGTTCAGTTGTGGGATGACTGCAGTTAATTCCGCAGCGCACTGAAGTAAAAACTACAAAAAAACCCCCAAACCCTCCCAAACTTAAAGAAATGGTTTTTGAATCAGGATAAAATGTGGGGTGTGTGCAGCAACATACAGTTCTCTTAATCAGTTACGTTTTGTCAGCTTACGGTTTGTGCTTGTGCCTAGGACAAGCTTCAAAGAGTAAAATGTGAAGTTTTGAGTGTTAGCTTTGGGTTACCACTAACTTCTCTTCTCCTTGTCTATTGTGTAAATCAGCATTCTCCTGAAGCCAAACCACAAGGGACAACAGAGGGGTTAGACTTCAGCAACAAAACATTGCATGTATTAATCGTACAGCTAAAAGGTGCAAAATGCCATTAAAAAAGAAGTGTTTGTTATGGAAAACATTTAAAGACAAAACAAAACAAACAAAAAAAAACCCCACAAACCAAAACCAAACCAACCAAACAAAAATCGCCTCCAATCTGGGAGGCTGAGCTTTTTGGCAAGTTTGCAAGATTGTGATCGCCCACTCCGACTTCTGGTTTACGTTTCCTTGTGCTAAATAATCTTTGAAGGAGCGGTTTCTTTCCTGACTGTCTGGGGAATTCATGAAACCTGAGTAATCTGTCAGTAGAGAGAGGTTCCTGACGCTGGCTTGCCTACTTTAGCTAGCTTGTGCTTTTTTTAGATTAGATTTGGGCCAAACACAGTTGTGTAATATTTATGATACCTTCTGAGCATCTAAACCTCCTCATTATTATGTTTGCCAGATTCTCTTTTGATATAATTTGGTAATTCAAGATTCTCTATAAACTGTTGAGAAAAAAAAAGTCATATTCTCTGTGTTACCTGCTCACAAATAGAAAATGAAATGTCACTGCCCCATCCTTGCTAGGCAGTTAAGCTGGATTGTAGTTTGTATCCATGACCATTATCTCAGGCCTGAGGAACAAAGTGTTGGTCTGTGCGTCTCCAGCAGTACGTGAATTACACTTACTGCCGCCTCCTGTGTTCTCATTATTGTTGCAGGATTAGGTGTGTATTCTCTGCGTTGCCTGGGTGCTCAGAGCACATTTCATTTCCTACGTACAGTACAAATCAATTGTCACTCTGTCTCAACTGTATAATGGTCACCTATATGTCATGAGAAGTCATTTACTAGTTCCAGATGATTTTTTTTGTTTTGGTCGGTCTCCTCATAAGCATCAGCACCATCTCGTAATTAACTACAGTTGATTATTTGAGAGAATCGGAGCAGAATGAGTTAAGAAAGTACGATCACTGGTCTGCCCTTGGCTACCCAAGCACGACTTAGTGTTTGTGGCCCAGGAGGTTCCCAGTGTTATATCAACATCGTCAACTGATATTGTCCATTTTGTGTGACTAGTAGATGCTTTTTCCATTTATATTTTTCAAACTACTGGCCCACACATATTATGGAAACAATGTATTGTGCTGTTCTGTTGTGTTTGGGGTTTTTTTTACATGTTCGACTGTTGCAGCTTTAAGACAGGCTTCCTTCATGGTCTCAGCCAAAGAGTGCAAGGTGCTTAATAAGGTTTAAATGAGCCCAGCAAAAAGATTCTGCAGAAGGAGAGGAGTCTACTAAAGCAAGATGCAGTCATTAGAGACATGTAATGGGTTTGATTCTCTACTCCCTTAAATTAAGTTTTTTACAGATACCAAAGGTGATCCATGATACAATGGCATAAAACCTGCATGGTCAGATTAAGCCCTGGGTCCCTTACTTATTCCATAGGTCTCTACTTATTAACTTTTAATTCAAAAGTGAACATTTTACAAAGAAATACCTGAGCTAGTCCTCCAGCATGTATAAGGGTTAAATCGGGCATCCAGGAACAACCAGGCACCAGCAGGCCATACAGAGCAACCACATAGTATGGCACAGAGTAGAACATGTATGCCAGCATCTGCATTTTAAACAGAAATATTAGTTGCTTTGCAGTGTGAGGGGGATGCATTTAAAAATCAGCCAGCTGCTGACCAGGGAGTTGAGACTGTTCAAAACTACACTCCTGGCAGCAATGATTCCCAGGCCTTTTTGCAGCTGGAACTTCTTTAAGAGAAGTTTCACACCTGGATGCTGTTGACTGGCCTCCACTGATACTGATGGCTGTTGCCTCTTTGCCCCATCCAAAGCCACTTCATCCCAGGGTATGTTTTCGAACCCCCTGCCATCTTGAGACCGTGCCAGTAAGCATGGCTTGACCTCACTCACGTCCAACACAACATGGGTGTCCATTTCTCAAGCTCCACTGCACTTTCAGCTGGGAGCTGTGAGATACACCCAAGCCACCCCATTCCCAGAAAGAACAGGTCCGGCAGAGATACTTGGTTTCTGCTCATTGCCTCACTCCTGAATCCCCTTAACGCTTCAGGCCCTGCCCCCACGCAGCAGCCAGGGTCGCAGAAGAATGGCAACCTTGCAAGTGCCACAAAACTAAAGCACAACGTTCCCTCCTCTGCAATGCAAAAAGTGTCATGTTTCAAGGAGTGTGTCACTGGTGACAGAAGTGTAACATGAGCTCAAGGAATCTAGTCCTGCTACAGCCCTTTTTGCTCCATTATTCCAGACCGAAAGTCTACTTTGCCCTTCTAAGGAAGGGCAATGATCATAAAAAGCATGCAGGACTATAGTAAAAGAAGCCTGAGTAATTAGGACATGTAATTCTAGGTAACAGACTTGAATCTAAGTTGTTTATCACAATGGGAGTTGGTACCCTGTAACGGCTGGAGTAGAAAATACGAAATACTGTTTAAATTGCCATGAACAAATACTTCCCTTATTGATCTTGTCATCTGTGAAACCCATGGCTTCATCTTTGTGCCAGTTAACAAATCGCTTCTTAACACTCTATGCTCCACAGTCAATGCTTTACCTGAAGCTTAGGATAGGCAGCAGGGTCTTTTATATAAGGTTCGTGAAGTTGAATATATAGC